GTTCAAAATCCAAATTGATAACATTGTGTACAATTGACAGATATTGAATTTCGATCTAATTTTCTATCAATGCTAACGTGTGCAAAATAAACTATATTTATGCACACTATGCTAATTATTTCTCAACTAATTCATAGATTACATTTTAAATATCTTGTTACGTCTGTAATACGACTAAATCGAAAATCATAATTCATTTTGATATGGGAATGAGTAATTTTTTTTTTAACATGATCTGAACTGAACTGGTGAAGATTTATTCGGTACAATGTTAACTGATATTTTTTGTTGAAAATTCACGGTATATTTTTTATCTATAAGAATTTTGAGTGATTATTGCTGCCTTATCTTGTATCAGATACTTTTGAACTCAAAACAGTGTGCGAATAATTCGTGGGATTTTCCTTTATACATGCTTTTGTTAGAAATAAAATTTTTATTAACTTCTCGTGGGGTAAGTTATGGTAATCACAAAAAAAAAATCGAAAATGAAATTGTTTAAATATCTTTACGTTTCAGAGGTTTCTGAACATTCTGCCATACACTAGATAAAATGGATGTGTGTGTGCGTGTGCGCGTGCGCGTGTATGTGTGTGCGGATACAAATTTTCAAAATAATTCAATAAACATTCGATTTCTACTGATAGGGAGACGTGCTGATTAGTTTTTGGCAAAGGCACGTCTAGCCGTTTCGGAGATACGGGGCAAAAAGTGCCAAAAATGGTTTTTGAGTTTTTGAGATAACGGAGCGTCCGATTTAATTAATTCAAAAAATATTTTATTTGTATTGATGAAATGAACAACTGGTGATTTTTGTAATAAAGCAGGTCCAGCGTCTCCGAAGATCCAATAAAAAAACGTAAAAAAATATGCCATTTGGCGGTCAAAAATGAAAGTAATGAGAATAAAAAATATTAACATAAATTGAGAAAAATGAGAATAAAATATTAACATAAACTGAGGAAGGAGAAGAATAAAATTTGACAAAAAGAGAGGAGAATATTTCATGTATTTATATATTCTCAATCTTTTTTTATAAATTTTGAGGTAAAGGTTTATTGAAATTTCCTGTTCCCGATATCAGTAACAAACCATGATATTGTTTTTGCATCTTTTTTCTCAAAATAATAATTTCTCGACATGATGCCTGACATGGCACGAAACTTCATACATTCAAAGTTTTTTGATTGATTTTGCTCTAGCAAGTCTTAACGGTTTTATAAGTCATGATATGTAATTTATACACATTTTTTTATACCAAATTTACAGTTAAAACGGAACTTTGGACATTTCTATTCGATTCGGGCGTTATTGAAATGAATTGGATTGGATATTTCTAATAATGGCTTTAAAATTGCATCTATAAAAATCAAGTAACGAATTACTTCGAACTATTTTTTGTAAAAATGAACTCTTTTATTTTGTAATTGTGCAATAACAATTTGATAGAAAGTATTTGAATGGAAAGGGAACTTAAAATTCAAGAATTTAGCAATTTTAGTATCATAGATAAGATTAAGTTAAAATGCAGCTCAATTTTAATAATAAAAATAATATCTGACTAATTTGGATTCAATATAAAAAAATAGAGGAAATTAAAGAGCAAGAGAGGCTTCAATTGCAACAAGTAAATCATCAAGCATTTTTTACAAAATACAAATATTCGCATGTTTTTTAATGAGAGCTGTTATATTACATTTATCATAGATAAGGAAACTATAGATGTATGGCATAGTGCCTAAGGGTAAATTGCTGGAACTTCCCGTACCGAAACGAAATGTTTCGAGGAATATTAAATGTTTTCAAATAGATAGACTGTACATTTTATAAGTTTTTTGAATCATTCAAATCGTATGCTAAGTTTTCTCAAAAACTACATTTTTTGTATATTTAAGCTCTGCATCTTCGAACCTGCCTTTTCCAAAAACTAATCACCCAATCATTACAAATTGAATGTCTTTTGGATCATTCAAATCGGATACTTCGTTCTCTCAAAAGCTCGGGTTCTATTTTTCTGCACTCTTTGCTCCGTATCTCCGTAACGGCTGGACCTGCCTTTGCCAAAACTAATCAGCACATCTCCCTCTCATTTGGAATCAATTTTTTTTTCAACTATTCAAATCGGTTGATTTTGTGCGCCCGAAAAATTGGACGAAAAATTACACACACACACATCCATTTTTCTGAGATATGCCAAATGTTTAGAAACCTCAAGATGTGCAAATTTTTCATTTTCGATTTTTGGCCCATTATTATAACTTACCCTACGGGAAGTTAATAAGAAATTGGCATGTGTATTCATCCCTATATTATATTTGTGGCACAAGAAGTCCTAGTTAAAAAAAACAAGGTTAAGATGGTTTAAAATATGTTCCATAAAATCATTATCATTATAATGAGGAGTAGGTAAAAAATTGTTGTACCAAATGTCGGATGAGATGAAGCTACTGTGCAAAGCCAGGATTGCCAGCAAATCGGATAAATCATGACAACATTTAAACAAATCTTTAATAAAGTTTTGATTGACATAAAAAAATTAAAAAACAAATTTCAATTGATATAATTTTTTAGTCAATTTTTATAGAATAGAGGTGGAGCCAGCAATTACCACCTGTCTTTACCCAACTTTCTTCTTCTTCATAAGTATATTTTTTTTTTACAAAAAACAAATATTCAAATGTTTTCCAATGAAAGCTTGATATTACATTTATATTCATCCCGATATTATATTTTTAACGAGTATAATCTTGACGGTTGGTTCTTCTTAATGATGAAATAACTATATAGTGCACTGACACCGTACTCAAACATGCGTTCGATAATAATGTTTATATAGATATTGTTCATATTTCAATAATGTGTCATATACAAATATTGGCAGTTCACATCAGAAACAAAAAGAAAATATGTAGGCATGTGTGTAACATAGATAACACTAGAACTATCGAATAATAAACGATTTATTGTTTTCTTATTGAACAGGGTGATGATTAGAATATTCTCATGGTCATGAGTATGTAATAATTTAAAAATATACTGTGATATGATTAAAGTTAAACAAATAATAATTAATCTTATCGTTTTTTTTTCAGGTGAAATGACCAGTGATGTTTTACGTACGTGTCGTAAACGAAGCTAGGAAACGTTCTTTGGACCTTTGAGTCCTTCATTCAATATACAAAATGTCCTTTTGGAAGGATTACAAAAATTCTTACCCGAAGATGCTCATTTGAGGGTCAATGGAAAACTGCATATTTCCCTCACAAGGGTATACGACGGAAAAAATGTTATAGTATCGCAATTTAATAGCCGAGAAGATTTATTACAGGTGAATATTTATTTATAAAAGTTAGTTTTTTTGTATTAATTAAATTAATAGTTTGTGCTTAGAGAAACGTATTCAATTTAAGGGGATATTCTAGTCTAGAAGTTTTAAGAAGTCGATTTTTTTTATATTTTTGGAGTTGAACTATTCATGAATAGTGCACAAGAGGAGGCTCTTGATTCCTTCCTCAGCGAAACTTTAAAACGCCGTTTTTCTCGAAACTGTCTATTTCGATACGATGCCCACGATTTCTCAACTTCTACTGCAACCGATTTACTTGAAATTTTTGAGTCTTTTTTATAGACTTCTCATCAGTATGAACTACACTCATTCCCCAATTCCGTGTTTACTATTTAAAAAATCGAGAATATCAAAAAAAAGTTGTGAAATAAATTTGTTTTATTTTCCAGACATTTGTTTTTTTCGGATTTTGTGAAAAATTGTTTTTAACTTGCCCATAGTTCATACGACTGTGCCATTATTCTAGATTAATAATCTTTCTTTTTTCTTTTTTATTGGATTATTTGGAGGGCTAAAATCAGGGGTATGGTTTACTCCCATTCATCACCTGCTAGAATTAAACCTTTTTGATTGATTTTAATTTTTTTTTACTTTTATTTTTAACAGCAATCAGAATTTACAAAATTCTATGAGCTTTTGTGCTATGATTTTAATTTTAATGTTTTTTCTGCATTCTTAAAGCATTAATTACAACTTACAAAAGAAATGAATTGTAAAAAAATTGTTTGCAGTCTTTCCAAAAAACACATAAATTTTATGCTTCTGGACTAGAATACACCCTTAAAATCTACGTATCTCTAGCTTTAATTTTTTTTTCAAATATTTTACTCATTTCATATAACATATTTTCATTTTCCTTTATGTATATGTAATATTTGTCTTTTTATCACAAAATTCTGTATATTGAGTAAAAACATGTCCAAAATTTTTGCTGTGTTTCCTGTCAGATAAAATATTTATTACAGTGTTTATGTCCTGTGTGAAGTGTGTATCCCCCACATCAAGTTGTGAACATCGCCGGATCTCGTGTAGCCCCGCGTAATTTCATAAATTTCATCCAAAAATCAATTATACCGATTTTGAAATATCATTAATTTTCCAATTGATTTTTAGGCATTACTTGCATCTTGTTTTATTCCTGTCTTTTCTGGATTGCTTCCTCCACGTTTTCATGGAATCAGATATATGGACGGAGGATTTAGTGATAATTTGCCAACTATTGATGAGAATACTGTTACAGTTAGCCCATTTTGTGGTGAATCTGATATTTGTCCGAGGGATGAAAGTTCGCAGTTATTCCATGTAAGTTAAAATAGAGTAACATATATATCAAAGAATTGAATTATTTATGGCATTCATGAATAGTCACATCATATTTGTGGCACAAGAAGTCCTGGTTAAAAATACTATGTTAAGAAATGCGTTCCATAAGATCATAGGTGTAAATTTGTTGTACCAAATGTCGGACGAGGGAAAGCTACTATGGATTGTTGAGAAATTAGAATAAAATCCTGCCAACATTTAATCAAATTCCAATCGAGATACTTTTTAGTCAATATTTACCGAATAGAGATGGAGACAACGATTCCTGTCTGCCCTCATTCGACTTCATCCATGAGTGGGACTATATGGTAACCACTATGTTTTATTCCAGGTGAACTTTGCAAATACCAGCATAGAGTTATCAAGGCAAAACATTAACAGATTTGCGAGAATTCTGTTCCCTCCTAAACCAGAAGTTTTGTCAAACATGTGCAAACAAGGATTTGATGATGCCTTAAGGTTTTTACATCGAAACAATATGATCAACTGCACGCGCTGTTTAGCCGTTCAATCTACTTTTATAGTTTCTGACACTTTAGACGAAAGTATCGACTATGATCCACAATGTTTGGAATGTAAAAATCATAGACAGGTCAGTAGTAATAATCGTAGATTTTGCTTGAGTAGTACAACCAGAAATTATATATTGATACCTTTTTAATAAGGGTTTTTTAATCTATACCTATGCTATATGCAATTAACATATCAAGTCTATATTTTTTAATATATGCAATCTTCCAGGAGGCCCTCGTAGCAAATCTTCCAGAAACGGTTTTAACAGTATTCCAAAATGCCATTGATAGTGCAAATAAAGGATTAGTTAATTGGATGTTCAGACACAGAGGAATGAAACTCTTAACAGTGTTAAGCATACCTTATACTCTGCCAGCAGATATAGTTTATGCCACATTGACAAAGTGAGTATTATTTATTTGTTTATATGTTATAGTTTGTAAACTAGTTTAAAAAAATGTTTAATTATAAATAAACCACGCCATATGAAGTGAAAATTCTACGATTTGTTCGACGTTAATTGAAATGAGAGTTTTAATAGTTTTATTATATTTAAATTTTTAGGTCATGGAAGTTGGCTATTTATCTTTACAAAGTGAGTTTAGTATCAATGTTTTATTGTCAAAATAATATTAACTAACATATTTAGAGCTTTATGCGCGTTGTAGATATGGAATTCTATATAAAAACGAATAATTATGAACAAAAAAGAACATGGCACCATAGCATTTTGTTCATAATTTTTCTGTATTAACGAAATTTCATTCTACCACGTGATTTGGCTGTTAAATAGCACACGATCCAATATTTTTATGCACATGGCATGGAGTAAATAATTAATTTCTAATGTTGCGGTTATGGAGTGGTTTAGGTTTTATGTTAAGTTATATTTGTAAGGTTATAGAAATAATGCTTTCTGGCTGATTTATTAAGCAATGAATTTTGCTTATGCCCCAGGCTTTTACTAATGACTAACAATTTTGTTAGCCTTGTGGGCGACGTTGTTGAAACTCGTTCACTACAATATAAAGTGCTGGGAAACTCTATGATCCACCGCCAAATTAATAGATGTTCAGTCCACTATAACCAAAGGTTTAGGTAAGGAAGTGTTCCAATAAATCTTCAGCGTCCTGTCCTTCGTCTTAGCCCAATTATCTGAATAAAAGTAATTTTTCCATTGCTTTTGTGGTGTGAGTTGGTGTAGTTGTTTTATTTCAACGTTGTAAAACGCATTTTATACTAAAAATAAAAACCATTGTTTTATTACGATTCCAGGTTAATGTCCTCGGTGCCGTCAGTAAGTAACCAATTGTGGGATCTCAGTAAAATAATAATTGAACGACTTAATCTACTTCTTCATACTATGAATAACAAGACTCAAAAATTAACCGCTAATTTAACATGGCAAATGGTGTTATCGGATTTCCATAAAATGTCGTATTCTCGTACTCCATTTGATATCGAAGCCGCCAATGCTGTTGCTGCGCCTAAAAACGCCCTTCTTGATGTCACTTATTACTCAAACAAGTAAGTAGAAATAAAATTAATACTATATTTGATTGATGCGTTCATTTTACTGAAGTAAATATATTTTTAGTAATGAAGTGCTGACTACTCGCTCATTGCATCCGCAATCAATCTCTTCTGATAATGATACCTTCGAACAAATTCTGGAGGTAACAAAGTGCCACGACGCAGTAATGGCATATTACTACATGGATGACAATAATAAAGTAAGTATTATTTCTAATATATCTCTATAACAATTGTGGAGCAAAATTAACTATTTCTCACTTTCAGATCCAGGTAACTGAAATCTTCGACGTGACTGATTCGGATTCGCCTGCTTTACAATCGCCAGTTGAATGTGAGGCCAATAACCAATTGCAGTTTGATAGCGAGTGCGATAATACAGAATTGACGGGAGATGACAATGATTCTCTCTTAGGTATATTTTAATTAGTAGTTAAATTTCATAAAAAACAATACAAATCTGAGAACAATATATAGCCAGTCAACCAAACCAGCTAAGATAATGAAAACAATAAAAGTCCTGACATAATTGTTATCAGAAAGTATTTCCAGTTTAACTTTATTTAATTTTTTTTACAGCTATCGAATACGCTAAAGAAGGCTTCGAGTTCGATTTATCCGATGCGTCAGGAGACGACTTGGACGATTTGCCCACTAGCATATTCAGTGATCCTGAAAGTGAATGGTCTGCAGATCAGTCTAATGAGATTGATTATTCACTACATAAATCTGATTTAAGACCAGAAAGCGAGCAATCAAATAAAAGAAAAGAAGCACAAAGAAGGAGTTACTATAGTACAGTTATGGAGGTGTAAAAAAATATTGTTCAGTTAATTTGCTGTGTTAAAATTATCTCCAAGAAACTATACATAAACAGCAGTATGTAAGATCTCATTTGAGCTGAGCTTGTGATAGCTGAATACTGATGTGCCACTTGTATTAATTCTTCGTGAAAGCAATTTGTATTTTTTCCACTTCGAACATAAATTCACGGTTCATGTAAATATGGTTGTAAAGTGTACAAAATGAAGCAAGTGAATGATAAAAACTCTTATGTTAGTATTTTTAAAATCATCCAACGATCATGCCATTTGAAAACAGTGATAATTTTTGTACCATTCCACAGTGATATTTTTTATATTATCGTATACATCATCTGCCTTGCATTAGTTTAATTTTTTTAAGTAGACTATTATCAGCATATATATATCTATATTAAAAATATCTGTAAATATATTGCGCATATGTAATTTGGTGTATATGCATATGCAACAGAGTATAGGAAATGTTTTATAAATACTAAAACCTAGCATGTGTTATTTATAACCTGTTATGATTGTGATATTAAGTGAACTAATGATTAAATTTAAAAGAACTGTTAGATATATTAACAAATAGTTTATTATATACCAAAAGTATTTTAAGATTATGATATCTACCCACTAAGTGAGTATAAATTAAAAATATTCTTGTTCTGTGATCCTGATATTTTTTGTATGGTTCGCATCAGGCCTTATTAATGAATATTTAATATATTTGTATTTTTTAACCGAGAAATAAATTAATTATAGAAAACAGAAAACAGATTTTTATTTATGCTTGGTGTATTAATTTATAAATCCTTGTTCTGTTTTTTTTTATTTTTGTTTCAGAAAAAACGTGAAAACGTGTATATTTTTTATAGAAATAACGTCTCATAGTCATTTTAAATATTTTATAACATTCTCAAATGTGTAATTGAAGTAGAACGTTTGTTGGGCGCATATTAACATCAAATACAATAAAAAAACGCACAAAGTTTCTATAAACGTTGGAGTACATTTTTAGTAAGAAAAGGGGTTGTTTGCCAAGAATCATTGACGTTCTTTTTTTTTTCAGAAAAATGCGGATTTTCAATTTTAATTTTCGAATAGGTTTCAATTACGTCAAAGATTATCTTTCATTTTATTTTTTGTAATTCCAAATTTTTTTTACCATTTTATGATTTAGTTGTTTTAGTTATTATCAACGTAACAAATTATCTAATAAAATAAAAAAATAATAAAATTAAGCATACGAAATAAAAATAATTTATTTTCTTAATAAATTTATTGCAGTAAAGAATGTTTAAACATGTTTGGAAATATTTGGAATGGTCTTAGAAATGTTTACAATTTATTTTTCTTTTCAAAATCAGGATATGATAATACACTATTATTGATAAATTTTTATTTCTTAAGTATTAATTATTATGAATGAGAAATGTAGCAGAACCGAGATTGATTAAAATCTTTGCGATTGTGAAGTCAAATGCAAATAAAAAATGTACTTGAACGAGTAACACAGTTTCTTTTAAATCCATTTGTCTTTATTGAATTAATTAATATTTACGTCTTGATAATAATATACATTTGCATAAGGGAAGGTTGATATTTTTATATCTCAACCTTATGAGACAACCTTATAACAAATAAGTCGACATATATTTTTATAATACAATGTTGATATTATGTTTAGAACTAATTTAAATAAGATGCTATCGTCTAAAATCATTACACGATGAATATGGATTAGGTTACTAATTAAACTTTGTAGGGTTTGATGATAATGATGTAGACTTTTATCATCAAATTATAAATTGTACCTGGCATGCAGGTGAATAAAGAAACCTGACTACCAAGCGGGGATGTAGCTCAGTGGTAGAGCGTTCGCTTTGCATGTGAAAGGCCCCGGGTTCGATCCCCGGCATCTCCAAATATTTTATCCCATATCAATTTAAATTTTGTATAAAACAAACTAAACAATTTCTACATTATGTTTAGAATATTAATTCCAATTTGTTGCTTTTATTGCTGAGTGAGATATGGAATGTAATAAAATAATAATCATTAACTATCTTTTCTTACATTCATATATTATATCACTATAAATATAAAACCATAATTGTTTTAATAATAATTAACTTCCCGTAGGGTAAGTTATAGTAATCGCAAAAAAAATCGAAAATGAAATTTTTTTTATATCTTTACGTTTCAAAGGTTTTGAACATTTTGGCATGCCTTAGAAAAAATGGATGTGTGTGTTCAGATACAAATTTTCGTCGACGATTTCGGGAGCACGGATCAACCAATCTCAATAATTATAAAAACATTCGATTCGTGTTGATAAGGAGACCTGCTGATTAGTTTTTGACAAAGGCAAGCCTGGCCGCTTTGATGATACGGGGCAAAAAGAGCCAAAAATGGTAATTCAGTTTTTGAGAGAACGGAGCGTCCGATTTTTAAAGAATTTAATTCTTAGTACGGAAAGTTTCAGCAATTTTTCTTAAGGCACGATACCATGCACCACTAGTTTTATAATAATTGTCAACAAAGTGTCAGTGTCAACCATTATACACATTTATATAATGATAAATTATAAATTATATATTTGTAATAGCATTAAAAATATGTATAATATTTAAAAACAATAATGTAATTAAAGTCATACTTCAAATATGACATGATCGATTTGTCATTGTAATTAGCATTTAGAAATGAACGTTCATTAGAGAAATGAAGTGATTGTTGATTAATAAATTCTATAATATTCGTTGACATAGTGGATTATGGTAAACAACTTCTAAACAAATATTGTTTTCGCAAATTCACTCATCATGGAATTGTGTTTGAAGAACTTCATGTAATTAAAATTAACATAAGTTCATTGACTGCATGTATTTTTTTTTATTTTTTCGCTGTATTTCGCATGTATTTTTTTTATTTTATAATCTCATTCTTTGAACAGCTGTAATATCTGTCTTGTCTAAAAAATATTTTTCATTTTAATAACTTCAAAGATTTATAGAAACTACGAATAATACAGAAATAATTTCTAATCAATCAACTTACTAATCATTAATCTAATTAATCAATATTTTCTAGGAACAGGGTAAAATATTCTTCTGATTCACTTTTTCGTTAAATCAAGATTTGTCTATGATGTAACTTTAAAATGTTTATTTATCTATGCCGATTTCCTTGTTAATATCGGTACGCATACAACGTTGATTCCGGTGCTTGTACAACGACAGATCTCTATTCACATACACGACGACCAATCACATTCGGCCCGTATTGAAATGATTTCATCGAAAGCAAATGACGTACAGTTCTGCCGTAACGGATTTCCGTTGCATTTGTACGGATTTACATCCTAGTCGCGCCTAAAAAAGTTTAACTTAAAAACTCTCGTATTCATGCACCAAAGAATACAATTATGCTGATGTTCTTGATAAATGCCTTTAAAAATATCAGATTTCTAGTAATTCATTTTTGTAAACATTTCTTAATGAGAAGGAAAATAAGCAATAAATTTTTTTATTAAACTACTGGAAAAAAGTGCATTATGATTAGGTCAGAGAAAATAAAAAAAGAAACAATACTATTGAAATACATTTTGCAATTACTATTTATACATAATATTCTTTAGCTTTAATTAGAAATATGCAATCAAAGTTATTTGCTGTTTAAAAGCACTTTTGAGACTTAATTTCAATCAGTTTAGAATTGCATATACAAATAAAACTAAGGCAAAGCAAGATGTTTATTAACTTCCCGTAGGGCAAGTTATAGTAATTGCGAAAAAATCTAAAATCGACATTTTTGCATTTTTCGACGTTTTGAAAGTTTCTGAATATTTTGGCATACCTTAGAAAAAAATGGATTTATGTGTGTGTGTGTGTGTGTGTGTGTGTGTGCGGATACAAATTTTCGTCGACGATTTCGGGAACACCGATCAACCGATTTGAATAATTCAAAAAACATTCGATTCAAATTGATAAGAAGACGTGCTGATTAATTTTTGGCGAAGGCAGGTCTAGCCGTTCCAAAGATACGGGGCAAAAAGTGCCAAAAATGGTAACTCGGTTTTTAAGAGAACGGAGCGTCCGATTTTAATAATTTAAAAAACATTTTACTTGTATTGACAAGATGAAGAATTGATCAAATTTTCATGAAGGCAGGTCTAGCGTTTTCGCAAAAAAAAGTAAAAAAAAAGCCATTTGGCGGTAAAAAATGATCATTAGACATATATACATCAAATTATCAGATATTTTATAGAGATTTTAACAATAAGTAGAAATTTTGTTTACATTCCTATGGGTTCCGTACCAATGTTTATCCGTTAGACGGCGACGCGGCGCTTATGCGATTTGACATTTCGTCTCTATGCAGTTAAAGCACTACTAAAGATTGCTTTGAAAAAAGTTCAGAATTTCCAAAATATGTCAAAATAAAGAAAACTTTTTTTTTTTTCAAAAAAAAGTAATTTTTTTGTCAAATTTATAGTTTCTCAATAATCTAATTTTTTTGAAGTAAATTTTTTTCAACAGTGTTAATCTTTTAAAAAAAAATAATAATTTTTGGTACGGGAAGTTCCAGCAATTTGCCTCAAGGCACGATGCCATGCGCCCCACTAGTTTTATTATGTATATGCAAAATATGCCACATACCAGAAATCCTAAAAAGTTATTGAAAATGTAATACTTTGATTTCTATCCAATTGAGGTAAATACTTTATAACACCAGGAATAAATTTTTGAAAATTACTATTTATTTTGTAATCATTAATATCTCTCATTACAGATATGAGCCGGTGCCGGTGATAGTTCTGATTATTGGATTTGAAAATGTTTGTCAGTCGTCTGATAATGTGTAAGCCGGTGTTGTCGAGACGTCTTTAAATAACTTATATGAAGCAAATGCACGACGATGATTGTGATTATATTATGATTGAATTGTTGGTAGATAAATCGCTTGTAAACAAACCATATATATTCCTTTAAGTGACGCTAACCGAAAATAGTAAATTTTATCAGAAAACGGTGTCGCGGCTATGATGCGGACCATATTCACGAACTGTACTGTGGTCTTGGTGGATCAGTGATGTTCTAGTCATAAAGAAATATGCATCGGTAGAATATTTTAAGTTTTTGTGAATAATAAGTTATCGAGAATCTTCAGAAACAATGGCAGCAGGTATTTATTAATATTTAATAAATTTATATCGAAAAATTAAAAACGTGCAGTCTTTCATGTAGGAGAAAGCTAAAGCTTCATTTGAATTAACGTATCTACACCATCTTAGTGCTACTCTATGTTATGCTTGTTTTTTTCAGTAAATTATAATA